ATTATCACTCCGATTATAGAAAAATGAAATCGAATGATTTGACTTCGAAGTTTATATTTATGATTTTGTAAATTTTAACAGAAGAAAAATACTGCTAAGGTTGAATTAGAAAATATAATGTTAATTATTGTCAATGAAGATGACGAATGTCTTTAAGTTTGACTACAACTTCTCGATTATAGTTTTATCTCATTTAAAGAAGTACTAATTATTCAACTGATTTGACAGATCACTAATAAAAATACTGGAAGGCTTTGATGAGAATTTATGTTAGAACCCGTTCGATCTAGTCCAGCATTCACTGGATGGTCCATACTTTAAAAGCAACAGCCAATGCTAACTTAACTATTATAAGATCGTCGTCTAGATTATTCGAGAAATATGTACGGCATGTTAGTAGCAGAAATCGAAGTCTCTAGAAAGTAAGGCTGAAAAATGTCGTCGAGATTAGGAGTAGGGTTCAGTCCCAGATCCCAATATATTGTACCTGACGGATTCTAATATATGTCTAGTTGTCGTCTGGAACTTTTATTCGTTAAACAGAATCATTAAAACAACGGTTTGTTTTTCTAGTTTAATAGATTTTATTGGCATATGTTTCATACTTTTAAAAAATTAAGTTCTGTTATCTAATTAAATAAAATAGATTTAAAAAAATTACTTCGATTTCCATGAAAAGAACATAATAAGGAAATGACGATGTCAAATAAATAAAAAAGGCTACAAATGAATATGAATTCTTCGTTTTTTTTCTCTTTAGATCACCAACAATGGCTGGAGGTCTTGTGGCAGCAGACAGAAAATATTTCTTTGAAATTGGTGGTTATGGTAAGATATTTTTAGATATGATTGATTCATTAATGTTTTCATTTATATCTTTTTAAACTTAGACGAAGATATGGAAGTAAGATTTTTCTGTTTCACTATGATCATTGAATTATTTTATGTTATAATATATAGGTTTGGGGTGGTGAAAATTTAGAAATCTCATTCCGTGTATGGATGTGTGGTGGGAGTCTTGAATTTGTTCCATGTTCTCGTGTTGGTCATATCTTTCGACCGGGTCATCCGTACAATATGACTGGATTAAAAGGTAATTATGCAAAATCTTCATCATTTAGAAAGAAAAAGAAATTATTTTATAGGCAAAGGTGATGTACATGGTCGAAATTCAATGCGTTTAGCTGATGTTTGGATGGATGATTATAAACGTTTCTATTATATGCATCGACAGGAACTTATAGTAAGATATAATTGATTTTTTTTTGTTATATGAAAGATAATAAATATTGAATTATTTTAATTTTAGGGTAAAGATTTTGGTGATGTTGAAGAACGTCGTGCTATTCGTACTCGTTTAAAGTGTCATTCATTTAAATGGTATCTTGATAATGTATATCCAGAAAAGTTTATTCTAGATGAAAATGTTCTTGCATATGGAGAAGTAAATAAAAGTCTAATAAATAAAATTTTTATATATGTTTATTTTATTGTTTTTCTTAGGTTAGAAATCCTTCTTCAGTCTTATGTTTAGATACATTAGGTAAAGATGACAAAGGATCAGCAGACGTAGCAGTTTTTTCATGTCAAAATGGTGTATCAGCTAATCAATATTTTTCACTTACAAAAACTAATCAATTACGTCGAGAAGATACATGTGCAATTATTTCTAATTCAAAAACAATTCATTTAAGTCATTGCTCTTATAGTGATAAGAATCAAAAATGGACACATTTTAAAGTAAAAAGAAAAAAAAACAAAAGAATAATTTATTTTAATTAGATTGTGATTGTTTTCTTTTTTTAATTTTATTAAAGAATGGTTTCATTATTCATCATCCGAGTAATCTTTGTCTTGATACTGAAGGTCTTTCAAATGAAAATTCAATCAAATTAAATAAATGTGAAACTAATAAGCCATCACAACAATGGATATTTGAACATTATGCAAAATAATTAATTCTGACAACACTCCATTACTTTTTTTTCCAGTTTTGATCTCAAACAGTACTATTACTAATTCTTGATAATCATTCTCCTTTTTGTTATTTTTTTTTATAGTTTTATTGTTTTGTTATTAATTATAAAATAGTTCTACTAATATACTAATAATTTTTCTTTTGTTTTTTTTTTTAATTTCATACTAAGTACGTGATATTTGTTGTTGGTTATTTATTTATTTATTTATTGAAACAGTTAAGAAATAAAAAAAAAGGAAAATCCTAGCCATATATTTTTACAATGTTTATATTTATTTTATTTTAATTTCAATTTATGAATTGTAACAATTAATAAGGATGTTATACTCTTAGAAATGAATTTTAGTTGTGCAACACTTGAACCTAGTGAAAATATTTCTGATGACGTCATTTGCTGAATCATCATCGATGTAATGTCACCATCCAGGTGAGTTTTTGTGACATTCCAAGTAGTTTATAAAAACAAGACAGAATAACAATATTCATTTTTGATTCATAAAAATTAACGAAAACAATAAAGGAAGTACGAAATATCTGAAAATAGAACGTTGTCATATATATCCAGGTGTAGGTAGATTTATAAAAAGTCTGTTGTTTTAGAAATTTAATATCTTAATAGATACTTTAATTTCTAAATAGAAATGTCGAAGTTAGAATATTTAAAAAAATTTTCTTTGAATATATTAATCATCGTAAGTAATTATACTTCTTATCTTTATAGATTAATGGCAAAAACTAGAACACGAAAAGTTACTACAAAAAAAGAAGCTACTCTTAAAAAAACAACGAAAACAAAACGAACAAAGAAGACTAGTTCATCGAAAAAACAAGAGAAACCTTTAGTCGAGCTTCCATTAACTACAAATATCAATACATTAGAAAAATCATTGAGTAGTCTAGTCCATGATGTATCATGGTCAGAAAATCTTCAAGATTTATTTAATTGTAATAATTTCAAAAAAATTGAACAATTTTTAAATAATTTATGGTCAACTGGAAAAAAAACATATCCTCCAAATGATCTTATTTTTGAAGCATTTAATAAAACACCATTTGATAAAGTAAAAGTAGTTCTTCTCGGTCAAGATCCATATCATGATGATGGACAAGTAAAAACAACAAAAAATAAAATAAAATAAAAAATCAAAATTTGTTTTTTTTTTTTTTAATAATATTTTCTAGGCTCATGGATTAGCTTTTTCCGTACCTAAAACAATGACAATATTACCACCATCTTTAAAAAATATTTTTAAAGAATTAGCAAATGATATACCATCATTTCAAATTCCTAATCATGGTTGTTTAGGTAGCATTTTCGAAGGATATACTAAATCAATTGTTATTTCTTTTTGTGATTTTTACTCTTTAGAAAAATGGGCAAATTCAGGTGTTCTTCTACTCAATGCTTCATTGACAGTCGAGTAAGTTTAACAAAATATTTCCTAAAAATAATACTGCTTAAAATTATAAGAACAGTTATTGTTAACTTTTTTTGTAATATTGAATATTTAACTTGAATCCTAATATTGAGTTGCATTAGTTGATAAAGCTCTATATCAAATGCTCTATTTACAGAGATCTGCATCGAAGCTATTTAAATTGCCATTGAATACTACAGATTTTTTTGCATGTTGAGTTTCACTCTTTGTGGAAACTGATATAATATGAAGGCTCGATTTACATCCTCACAGCGCTCAACAAAGGTAAAGAAAAGGTGAAATCGAGATTGATTTCGAGTTCTTTTTATAAGTACAATGAATACCAAAAAATAAATCTTAGAATTTAAAAAGATATCTTATATTAAACTTGGTTTATTGATGAGACATTTAGTTCGGTTCGAGGCAGCTCTATAAGGTCTCATAGTTGGACTTGATGAGAAAGTTATGTAAAACTAAAAAAGAACACAATAGTTTTCATCTTCCAGGTAACGTGAGAGAGGTTTATCTTTTTTAACAGTATCATCTGAAGAAGCATTAAAGTCTGAATTAATATGAGCGATTATCGCACTTTTTTAATGACCTTTCATTACAAATTTACGAGCATCTCACAACACCAAAATAAGACACTTTTCAATGACCCTTGATAAAAATATTGTTGTTGTTTTTGGTATTTTTATATTGCTTGTAAATTTGAGAGAAAAAGTCATAACAAAATGTGATGATTCCTCATATTATTCAGCGTTTGCAGATGGTATTATTAAAAACCAGCCTCTTCAACACTAATAGAGACTATTCAAATTGTACTTTAGATTTGAGTTATATAATCGACATCACGAGTAGTGTTGTATATATGTACTTATCTTTTCAGACCTCATTTACCCAATTCTCATTCTCGTATTGGTTGGACACAATTTACTGATGATGTCATTAAACTCTTATCAACTAAACGTCAAGGTTCGATAATAATAAATTTCTTTTATTTTCTATAATATTAAATTTTGAAATAAAAACAATTTAGGTCTTGTTTTTCTTCTTTGGGGTGGTTATGCGCATGCCAAAGAAAAATTAATTGATCAAACAAAACATACAATTATCAAAACCGCACATCCATCTCCACTATCATTTAATAAATTTTCAAATTGTAAATGTTTTTCTCTTGTTAATGCAGCTCTTAAAAAATATGGCGAACAACCAATCGATTGGTCACTTTAAAAATAAATTCGAATTTGAATATTTTTCTATCTAATAAATATATATGTATTTCTATATATATGTATTGATTATTAATATATTTGTGTTTACATAAAACAAAAGACAAACAAATTCAGTAAAGAGACATAAGCAAAACAATTATCCACGTAAAATCTTGTTTTCATGAGTTGATCAAAAAAAAAAATAAGAGAAACCAAAAATGAAAAAAAACAGATAATGTTGAGCATCATCACGGATTGAGTATTAAACATAATCTCACCGGAAAAATCAGAAAAAAGCAAAAAGAAAGTGATAAAATGAGAAATCAAGAAATAATATGAAAAAGACTATAAATCTTTTATATGAAGAATAGATCAATGAAACTTTTATAATTATACTTCATCTCCACTGTATTCTTCAGTATCATCGTCCTCAGAACTAGTTGGTATAAAAGCTTCCACTATTGTTGGCACTGGTATTCTTTGGGGTCTAAAATAAATCGTTTGATTTTTTTCAAATCGAATTATAATTAAATAATAAAAACAAAGAGAAGCAAAATTCAAAAGCACACAAAATATATACCATATCTCTCGTATTGTTCGCATGATACCAATATAAGAGGATCTATGAAGTAGTTATGATGAAAAAAAAAAACAAGACATTAAACTAATTATATTATTAACATACTTATTAGTATTAACAGCATCTTCTGGCGAAGAATTCGAACGATTACGTGGTGCTATACCCAAAGCGTATGTATTTATTAAATTAGCTTGTGTTGAGCTAGTTTATACATAAGCCATGTTGAATTAATAAGCAAGAAAAACTGGGTTAATAGAAACGTCTACTTACTTATCGGAAATAGAATTATTCAATGACATTGATGGATGAGTTAATGTATTTATATTAGATGATCGAGTTGAAGGAACAGGTGCATGATTTGTTTTCTAAGTATTAAAAAAATATTTTCAACGTGAATGTAATCAAAAGACAAAATTAACTTTAATTTACTGTGGATCGTGATCGTTGAACAGTTTCCCTTTGTACTGGGATACTTGTTCGACCGAATGTCAAAGATGCATCTGATACTGGTAGTGTTTGTGAACCAGGACTTATTGGATCGGTATATGCTGAATTCGAAGGGGTAGATGATGATGAGATTGATCCTGATCGACTTGCAAACACACCGAAAAATTTTTTTGAAAAAGCTTTCTTTTTCGATGATGTTGGTGATATACGACCAGCATTTGAACTTGCATTATCATTTGCTGTAACTGTCGTATTACTTGAAACACTTTCACTGCGTGCATAAGGACGTCCATCCGTTATATAATGAAAACTATCCATTTCAGAGCCAAATTCAGGTATTGGACCAATACTGAATAAATACATAAGTTTTTTTAATTCTTCAAGTTTTAATCGCTGTCGTTGTTCATACACACGTGAACGAAGACTTGGCGATTTAATAGCAACATCTACTGCATTAAGTAATAATGTAAGAAAATAGGAAGCAAATGATGTATCATATAATAAGATTCCACCAGGCGGATCAATTACTCCTGTTATATCATTTCGACGCCAAACACCAATCTTAAAATAAATATAAGAAAAAAAATTATTATTATTATTTTTTTGTCTTTTTTTTGTTTCCATTTTACTTTATAATGAAGTTTTTCATCTTTCATACTTGGTTGTACTGTGATATAAATTTGTGTAACTCTTCCCGTAATAAAATCTGGTGAAAAATTTGCACCTGGTTCTTGAAAAACAATACAAACAAATGCATTTCCAATTAAACCTTTTCTTATAGTACATTTTTCCTCAGCATTTGTTGATGGCACTAATGGTGCTATATTAAACATTATTTCATGATTTTCATATTCAGCATAATATGAATATTCTCCATGTGAACCGTTTTTTGTATCAAGATCACCACGATATTTTTGAAAACCTTTTAAATAAATGCGTTTTGATATTCGATCAAGAAAATCCCACATATCATTTAATGGATTTTCATTATTAAATATATCCTGTTCATTTGTTTGATTAAAATGTTGATAAATAACACCAATTTTACAATTATATCGTTCATCATTTTGTTTATCAAATAAATAAATTTTTTCATTCGCCTGTTAACAAAAATTTTACATGAAAATAATTTCAATATTATATTATTTTTCTTCTCACCTACTCACTTTTGGATCACCGACAGGTCCATATGTATGAACTGGTGGTAAACGTGCTTTATTCAATAAAACTCGGAGAATACTATTTTCATTCTTACTATCAAATATTTCAGATACATCATAATTACGATATTGAGTACTATAAATAATCAAATAAGTTAGTTAATTATATATCATATTAAAGATTTATACCGAATAATCACACGTGCTTCACATATATCTGTCATAGCTGTTTTTTGATTAATACATCGTAGCGATGCTATAAATGGACCTTCATCATCGAATTCACCAGAATAATTTATATGAAACTAGTTATATAGGAATAGAACGACTTTTGTCGTAAACATTGATTCACTTACATAGTCGAAAAAATTATCACGATAAATTTTTGAAACGCACAACGATGTATGTGATTCAAATATAAATAATTCACTTGAACGTGGTTCAGATAAATTTTCGTCGAGAATAAATGATGATGATATTGAATCTTCAGTTGTAGATAATGGAAAACGTTCATTACTATTCGAAGGTATGAATCGGGAAACATGTACAGGTGCTGTTGGTGACCTCTAACAATAAACACACACATATATATATATATATACATTTAAAAAAATTTGATTTTCAATTTGATTTTCTTAACACTACCTGTTGTTTCTCTTCGTCAGACTTAAATATCATGTTTAGCCTTAATTTTGAGGCGATTAAATGGGTATAGAGTCAGACAATGGAAAAAGAAAAAAAAGAACGAGGCTTAGCTTTTTTTTCCTATTAAGAACCCTGTTTTTTTTTTCATTAACAATCCCCTGCATATAAGATGAAGAACAACAGAGAAAGAGACGCGGAAGAGAAAAAAAATATATAAATAACAAAACAAAGAGTGTGTGAAATGGAAAAAAATAAGACTACTAATGGTTTGTCATTGTTATTCAAGCGTAACTACAATAGACGCTTATATGAGTATCTCATTATCGAGAGACTTTCATTTTTTAAAAATATTTTTTGTTACGGAAAAAAGAAACACTTGTTTTTGTGTTTGTCTCTTTTTGAGACAAATGTTATTTCAAGGAGAAGAGACAAAAATACGACAAGTATTGATTCACACTATGAGCTGACAAGAGTAATCTTCATCTTGTCTATATTTTAAATCTTTAAAATGATTACTTATGATCTTAAGATGAAATGACAGTACTTTCTTAAAAATAAAAGTTACCACTACGTTTAAAAGAATAGTTGAAATATCGTGTTTATATCTTTCATTTCACACACACTCTCTGTCTTTTGACCCACTCATTATTCTATATCATGTATTTTAGTAATGTCGTGTACTACACAAAGAAAAAGAAATTTGTTTCTCAAACATGAAAACATGCATACAACGATTTGACTTACCGGTCGAAGGGTTGGATCTGCTTTCATTGCGACTGTATCAGTGAATTGAATTGAAGAAGTTGAAACAAACTTGTCAGTTTTGTTCAGCGTAGGATTATTCGTGTTTGCTTCGTCTCTAAAATATAAGTTTATAATTAAAGAAAAAGACATGATGACCGACAAGAAAGGCATTCACTTTTCGTTAGAGTACATAATAATCATCTGCAGCTACCTCACATTTACTGATAAGAAAAAAAAAGGGAAAAGAAAAAAGAAAGAAAGAATTGTTAGTTTCTTTTTCTCATTATCAATAGATTTTTTTTTGTCACCGGTTTCTAATGAAATGACGTAGTTTCAGAATACGATGTCGTTATCATGATCATCTGTTATTATACCCATAACTTACTTTATAATACTTTTTTGATGATGTTTTGGATTACGGAAGGCATGTGGTAAAAAAGAACTAAAATGTATTTGAGCAATTGAATTACGATGTTCAAGAGATGCATGATGATCTTTTTCGACTGATGATTTCGGTTCACTAGAACGTTTATCACGTCTGGTATCTAATTTATTTAAAAGTTCTGGCATATATGTTGATTCTACTGGTGTATCGGGCGATGCATCGTCTGTTGTTGACATTGCTCGAACTCGTAATGGAGGTCTTTGTTGATAATGACGATCTTTTCTAGGGGATTTTATTGGTTGTCTTTCTAGATATTGTTCACTATGAGATACTTGCGAGTCTAATGGTTTGTTAGAACGCGAACTGATGGAAACACGATTTTTTAATAGTGATAATCGTGGAGGTGGTGATGATGATGCTGTTGAATCGATCGACATGATTATATGATAAAGAATAAAATTATTTTCCTAAAATTAAGAAAAATCGAAATGAAAATTAATTTTTTTCAAGAGTAAAAAAACACGATGTATTAATAAATAATTTATTATTATTTTTGATTTTTTTATATTAACAAACAAAAAAGAATCTTAACATGTATTAAATTTATTGCATATAATACATATCTTGTAAACAAAAAAAAAGAGGATTTTTCAAAGCTTTCTTCACATATACATACATATATTTGCACTTATCGCTCCATCAATAATATATTTCTATAGCTATGACTCATGTCTATTCAAAATAAATTTCTCATTACTAATTTTACATCAAAATCTTATTAGAAAAAAAAATGAAATAAAGCAATTTTTTCTTCACTGAGTAGCACTATTTAATAGTTGAATGCTTAAAAATAAAAGAATAGCTCATGAATAAAAGAACCTAAATAAATATTATTATCGATTAACCGATCTTTCATGGCATATACATCGTTATGCGCATACTCGCTGCGTTCTGCTTGAGTAATCTTTTTTTTCTTTTTTTCTTCGTATTTACTCAATATAAACATGACTGTATAGATTAGAAAAGAGTTTCCTTTTGCGTATATTAAATTGCATATGCTCGATCATGCGTATTTCGAAAAGAAAAACATGATAATACAAAAAACAGTAAAAGCAAAATATCTATCTGATTTATAATAAAAATATAGACAAATAATTGCTCGTAAATCTATAATTATCTATTCATATGCCCTGATTTATTTAAGTTGTAAGTCAATGAATATTTACATAGTTACGTTAAATATTATTTATATATATATATATATACTTCACATTATTAATAATATGCTCTCTTTTTTTCTATCCAAAATGTGCACAAAGATATAAAAAGAAAGAAAAATTGTTTATATGTCAAATGAAAGTTATTATACAATAGAAGCCAATATCACAAGATTTTATTGATATAATAAATATATCTTAATATTTTTCTGCACTTATTTTATAACTCATCATTATGGATTCATAAAGACATTTGTCAATGTTAATAGCCATTTTGAAAATTAAATGTGTCGGAAACAATATTCATTATTTTCCTAAGAGAACAGCTTATTAAATTTTTAGAGGATACTTACTTAATAATAGTTTTTAAATATCAAAATAGAGATATTATAAAGTAGAAAAGAATAATCGACACATGTATAACGAGCAAATAAAAACAGAACATACTGCGCAATAAAATTAATTCGAGGAAAATTTTGACAACAAGAAAAGAAAGAAAAACTTTGATCTCTTTCTATTTAATATTCAAACTGCGTCGTTTTCTCTCTCACTCCTCTGTTTTCATAGTATTTTTTTTTATTCCATTACACAGCAATACTATAGAAAAAGAAAAATGAGTCTAATACATCAGGGACCCGAAAAGTATCAATTTGCTATAATAGTTTTAGCATTCTTTGTCACTTTCTTCTATTTTTTTATGATTTCTATAGTATTATTGATTTCTTCATTTTTCCCGGATGAGTGTTTTTTGTATTTTAAATACTATAGAAAATAAAAAAACTCAATATTGACTTATAATTTTATATTGCATCAACAGAACGCATGAACATGTCACCCTTTAGCAGTGGGGTTCTTTTTTTTTTTTTAATAACTCTTCATACTTGATTTTTCCTTATTTTTCTAAAAATAATAATAAGAAGAAAAAAAAACAGGATAGATAAAAGGAAATGATATACTTCGCCTGATCTTATTTCTTTCTTTTTGTTCTTCATCAATAGAATAATAATGTACGATTGCAACATGCATGTCTATTCTCTTTTGGAATATAATGATCAAGTTAAAATCATAAATTTTGCTTTGTTTAATACATCTATATTTAGTCTTTGATTATCTTGATGAGTTCTCATATATGATAAAGACGAAAAGAAAAATTCAATGATGTATTTGATATTATTTGTCGTGCATATCTTATATTATGTATATGAGCATCGATCTAAATTGAATTGATCATAGCAAATGATAAGATTTAGATAATGAATTCAATAAAGATATAAACTTTATTTTCATCGAATTTATATATGTCTTATATAGAATATTTGAAATCAATTCCATGATTAACATAGTGGAATGTTTCTATGCTATTAGTTAATAAAGGATGTGCCCCACAACTCCTGAATTTAAACAAAAATTAGTTGATATGTCAATAAAGAGTGATTCTCATCAAAATATATCTAAATAAGCTTCGAATATTTAGGACAAGGTTTTCAATGACATTTATATCTTTTAATAATAGTCATGCAAACAGAACAAATGTAATAATTCAAACTTTGAAATCGACTAGTATTTTTTTTTTAAAGATGTTTCATTGAACTATGAATTTATCATAAGTAATATAGTACAATTATATAAAGCCAGACGTAGTATCTAAGGTATGGGTGTGGCTATTCTCTGAACTTACACCTTAATTATAATGTTTCTTGTGTTTCTATGACCATTATTAAAAGAGATAATGGTGTCGGATAACATGCCATTTAAGACATCCTTTTAAGTATTCAAAACTTATATTGATATAATTGGAAGCTTTTTTTTATAATAATTTTCCTGATGATAGTTGTTTGATATACTTTAAATTTTGCATCGTTTAAAATTATTCTCTTGGAAAATAAACAATTGTTCAATGTATCACACATGGAATACTCAAAGAAGATTCTATTAAGATTTATTAAACATGATTCAAGAATATAAAAGTAATTGTGATATAAACTGTGAAACAGATTGAAAACAAACTTTTTATCGAAATTCTTCATAATAGATATAATTATGTGAATAAGAAAAATCTTACTTTCATCAAGGTTAGAGCAATATTAGTTCTTTTTTGAATACTGCATATGGTAATTTTCTAAATTATCTACTAGAGAAAACGTCATATTATTGAAATTTTAATTATATTATGGACGGTTGTAACACATACCATTGTTATCATAATGCGGACTAGATGAGACAAAATCATTTTCATTTTTCTCGAACACTTACAGTGTCTCCCAAAATTATTCATCTAGATTTGTTTTCGATTTTTTTCTCACTGTCGTAATTTCTAATAACAGTTCAAATAAAGATTTGTGTAGAAAATTTTAGTGCCAACCAAAACTTTTGAAGATAAATGAGCTTCTGTTTTAACTGCAAAGAATAATAAAGCAAACAATTTTCTATAAGACGTAATGTTTTTTTGGTGTTCTACAACGTTTTTTGATTCAGATAAATCAACTTTATGAATAGCACACAAGTCTTTCTCCGTTATTTCATATAAAAACATCATTTTTATGCTTTCAACATGTATCTCGATCCAGAAACAAGATACAGACATGGATGCTTCTTCACTCTTAGAAGATCGTTTTCTCTATCGCTTCACATAATTGAACCAGAGAAATTCTAAGAGCTGGAAAACTTTCTCTTTCAGCAACCTGATCCTCAGAAAATCAGTAGTAATTTTCATCTTTGAAAGTGAAATTCTCTAACACAAATCGCTATTTGAAGACGGCAGTGGAAAACAACGTTTTTTTATTTTTCGACCATAATTCAATAGATTAATAGAAAGCGAACAAAAACATTCAAATTTTTTTGATAAAGACTCCGCTGAAATTTCAAAATATGACACGAAATTATTAGTACTTTTTGACATATGTTTCACAATTTTAGATGAAATACCTACGAAAACAATCTTGAGATTATAAACATGTGAAAACACTTAAAAATCGTTTTTTTTTGCAATCAAATACTATATCCGATCGTGTGAGACTATACATTGCATACACTAAATCTGGTTTTGTAAAAAAAAAAAAAGGTTTGAAAATACATTAGAAAAGTACAACTAGAGGTTAGTTCAAAGCCATTTTCTCCTTAATGATAGTATGATGAATCTTTAAAAGATCCTGAAAGCAGAGAGCAATAAATTTTCTATTCATTGATGCTAAATACTTTACTTTTAGGATCGATCTTGGCGAGCAAAAGCATACATAAAATGATGGATATATGCAGAAAATCGAACATCATAGTTCGACGATTAAATAATTGTTAATCATTTGAATAGTGTTTCAACAAGAAACAGTTTCTTAAAAAATAACTACCATAGTTTTGAAAATCAAAGAGTATGCGTGTGGATATTCATTTCATTTACGTTCCAATCTTTGCGAAAATTATTGTCATCATGATATCATCTTAAAGAATACTCAATTCCGATTGTAGCAAGAAGTTATCAGTTTTTTTATCATTTAGTTTTTAAAAGTTACAAGCATCATAAAATAATCGAATTTAATCAAAAAGTTGCTAAATATAGAATAAAAAGCATCTTCTTTCGCTTTCTGTTATATTTATTACTGAACAAAATCATTTTCACAAAATCTTCTCAGATTTGAAAACAATCATTTACAGTTTTTTAGGTAGGAACTTTATCCTCACAGTTCATTTATGACATCTTTATACATAATGTTATTCGATTATTTAAACTACAATATAGATTTGAGCTTGATATCAAGTTTTATAAAGAACAATCAAAGCTAACTTTTTCGTTCAATTTCGTTATATATATATATGTACATTTTATAAAAAACAGCGAAACATTAACATATCCATAGATGAAACAGCAGATATCAGTCTGATTCGAAATTTTAGCAATTCGTCGTTCATTCTTTAGTTTAATATCTATCATCAAATATTTTTTGTTCTAGTTCTTTGTAGAAGTAGTTAAAGCAGTGACAATTAAATTTAATAACAATATATTTTTCGTTTTTTCATAATGCTTAGCACCTAGCACAAAATCAAATAGGAATTTTAATAGCTAATGAAATTTCTATCTAATGCATTCTATACTAAAATTTTATAGATGAGCTAATTATGATGACAAGGTAGTTTTTAGATCCCACAAGCCTTTTTCGGATAGATTTATTAACAATGCCATTTTAAAGACCATAAAATGAGAGTCGCTGTATTTTCTGGAATTGAGCTAATTGCTTAGCACTGTAAAAAACAATATCAAACATTTATTCCTTTTAAACCTTTTCCTAGCGTCTTACATGATTTCTATTATTCAAAATTTTTTCTTTATTTTTCAATTATTTTCAATAATTACACATTAACCCTATGTCCATTTTGTTTTAGTACATCAATAGCTATTTCTAAATTTTTATCTTTAACCAGGACATAATCTGTATCATATGTTGATATTGCTAATATACCAATATCTGCTTTAGCTAATGGATTGAGTATCGATGCTAAGACACCTGTCATATCAAATGGAAATGGACCTAAAAGTTTGAAACATTTCCAATTTCGTTCACATTGAATATCTTTTGGTAATTGATTGTTATCAATTGTAATTATTGATAATTCATCATTTGTTTTTGTTATTGAATAAAATGGACCAGTCAATGCCCATGATGGTAATGATGATGAAGATGGAAGACGACAAAGTACAAAATTTTCTTTCAAAAGATCAAGAGTTAGTATTCTAGATGTTGACATGAAGAAAATAATTTATATTAAAAGGTTTACTTTATCTTCACTAGGACAATAATGTTGTATATATATTCGAATTAAATCAACATGATAATTTAAATCTACCAATCAAAACTTTACAACTTGCCACTAAAGTGTAGTTAAAATACAAAATAGTTGTAGATTTCACAAAACGAATTATTATTTATGTCTTGTCTCGATAATACATACATTAATTTCAGAATTTTCAGTCAACAAAAATATCTTATTTTAGTCATCTATACAATCAAAAATATTTCTTATAAATTATATTTTCATTGTCTCTATTTTTCAGGCTTTATTTTCATGAAATTCGGATTTCTATGAATTTTTATAATGTTTCTGAATTGAGACACTCATCATTGTAATTAGTGAATGAATTGATTGCTTTTTCCATTAGTGCATTTTATATAATTCGTCTCTGAGCAACAAAACAAAAATGTATAAAATCTGATTTAACCTTTTTAACCAATCATATTTCGTAATTCAGCACTAATTTTTTCATTGCTAAAAAACATTTTACAAATATTTCATCATCAAAATCAATACAAAAATAGAAGAGGGCGTACAGAGACAGTACATAAAAATATTTCACATAACCTTGATGAATAATCAATATAATAACAGAAAAGTTTGAATAATTTAAAAAAGTATTAATCCACAAAGTTTGAAGCTTTATCAATATAAGAAGTTTTTTGTGTACAATTCGCAGGAGAAGGGTTACCACTGACAACTTGGCTCCATATGCAATACTTATCTTGTTCGATATATGATAAATTCTTCTTTCGAAGAATAAAATAATGTTGTACCTAAGATTAAGGAACTTTTAATCTTATAATTCATGTGATATTGTACATTATGTTCATTTTATAAATATTTAATTTACAATGAAACAAATTTCATAAGATAAAAAGAGGACATTGCAGAAAACAAGTAGATCTCATCAATTTGAAAACTAGAACCTTCGTCTTGTCTACTGGCATGGTGAAGAAGCTGAATATATACAACATTTTTTTGATTATACCTTCATTTGATACCTGTAAAAGCTAAGTTCAAAATAGTCAAAAAACTTGTCTATAGTCTTGTTTGTTGTCTAACAAGGCGAGATTTTCCGTGAAACTGCAACAAAAGACAATATCAAAAGATAGAATGAGTGTCACACATACGAGTGCAATAGTATTAAGTAATCTTATTAGTCTTATCAAAGAATTTTCTTTTTCTATTTGCTTCTGAGTTGACAATCGAAATTCAAATATTCATCTCAATTTTATACAACATAATTATAAGACGTTGGTTTCTGTCACTTTTCTTATCTTAACATTTGTTTAGCATATATGTGGGTCCGACTTGAGCTTTACCATTCTTATCATGAGACATTGACAACAAAAAAAAAAGATTTATTTTATTTATGTTTGATTCGTATCTTAGACAACCATGATGTCTCATATTAATTCTTATATAAAAACACCATACATTTTCATTACTTTTGAGTATTTATAGACATTTAATATTTTGTAGTCGAATCATGCAGTATCCTTATTATAATCAAGGATTTATAATTCAACGTCAACTATGGCAAGAAACTTGGCCAAGAGGACTTATGGCTTTCATTGCGACTTGTCAAATGTTACTTACATTTACTATCCTTGGTATTGAAACATGGAGTATGGGACTAAGTATAAGGTATTCATTTTTATTTATTGGTTATAGTGCATCTTTTTTCTTTACAATAACTTGGATATCAACGTACACTGTTGGTAAGAGGGCACCCAATGATTATTTATACATAAACTATCTTCTTTCGTTTATAGCTTGTTGTAATCGAGGATCTCAGGGTTGTGCAACTCATGCATTAGTAGAAAATATACTTTCAATTATTGCATCATGTGTTTTATTGTATTACGATACTCGATTTCTTCATTATCCTTTAGGATGCTTTTGGGAATATGGCATGTGCAATAGTTCCTATTGGAGCTGGACCTGGAGCGCTTTCTTGGGTTATTCTGTACTCAATATTATGCATTTCAAACTTATTGCAATTAAAATACAACTAGCTTGTGCTGCTCTCATGCTTGCTTTAGGGGTACTTTTTTTTCTAAGTTATCTGTATGTCATTGTGAAAGTTAGACAAAATTCAAACGGTATCAATCCACAACCTGTCATAGAACTGAAACCACAACAAGGGCCATTTCAACCACCACCAAATATAATTTTGGGAGGACAGCCACCTTCTTACTCTGTTCCATCGTATTATTAAAAAGATAAATTATTAAATCTAACTTAACAACATTTGTGATTTGTTATTGTCAAGATTTCTATTTTATAATAAAAAAATCCTATATGTTTGAACAGAGATCATTTCAAATTCTACCACATGGTACAGGCTGACTTTTAGTATTCACAGAAGACTTTTCTTTACTTCGTTTAAAATATAAGATCGACCTATATCTCAAGAATGGTTTTGCAGATTTAGTTGAAATGTTCTCTGGCGGATATAATATGTTTATAGCTTTTATTGAACACTAAATTTTCATCTGAAAATATTGAACTGTTCGGATTTGATGAACTATCGAATACATGAAAAAGTCGATATTTTAGACAATTTTGGTGATTCCTAACTTTTGACTGGAATGAGATAGAGGCAAAGGGAAAATGGCATACTTTTGAACTTGAGGCTACTTTCAACTGTCTCAAGAGCATTGTAAGCTACATAAAGTTACTTTCAGCTACTTCAGCGGTACTCTAAGCTACTTGGCATTGCTTTCGACTATCTGACTGGTACATTATACTACTTCCAGCTACTTGGCGCTAGTATGATATAGATTCAAACGATAAGCTTCAAAGTGATCAGTATAGCTTCTTTCTCTTTTAACTAACAAAATAGGATGTGGACGTCGATGTGGGTATAGGTGTTTAGTTCTAGCTCAACTAGAACGTTTTCCACCAATACTCACATCCATGTCCACTTATCCACATTCAAGCAGCACGTATTATAGTTTTATCACGTCTTTTTAACACTGATTTATTAATTCAAATTTTAAACCAATCATCAATTGTTAAACTATCACTTATTTCTATAATTTTTTCATCTACGCGAGTTATTAAATGATTATTCTATGATAATTTATATATTAATACTGCTATGGCATGGATGTGTGGGCCGTAGATATGGATGAGTGTGGAGTGCCGGTGTGGGTGTGGATGTAAGTGGTGGTATGTGTGTGAGTATGGGGGGAAGATTATATGCATACCCATACCCTCAAGTTGTAATGGCTTAATGACTTCCACAATATTTGTTTGATTCGTCTCTCAAAGAAAATGAAATAAATCTGATTTAAATTTTTAACCAATCATGTTGCTTAATTCAGCAATAATTTTTCTAGAGAAAACAACATCTAAATATC